CCATCCACGTTGCTACAAAGGGCCATATTTCATTCTTTCTCATTGCCACATAGTACTCCATTGTGTATATAAACCACAATTTCTTTATCCATTCATCAGTTGATGGATATTTAGGCTCTTTCCATAATTTGGCTATTGTTGAGAGTGCTGCTATAAACATTGGGGTACAAGTGCCCCTATGCATCAGTACTCTTGTATCCCTTGGGTAAATTCCTAGCAGTGCTATTGCTGGGTCATAGGGTAGGTCTATTTTTAATTTTCTGAGGAAACTCTACACTGTTTTCCAGAGTGGCTGCACCAATTTGCATAGAATAAATTCTTAAGCATGTAATTTCAAAGAGTATGTTTTTATAAGAGTTTTGATGTATATTGCTGAGTCACACTCCAGAAAGCTTATACCCCTAAAAAAGATAGTAACTTCCTTTGAGCATTCATCAAAACTGGGTATTGACGGAAAATATACCCAATTTTATTTGAAAGGCAAAAATTGTTATCTCAACTGTTTAATATCCATTTCTTTGATTTCTAGTGACCTGAATATGTTTTTCCATTTCATTGGCTTTCTATTTCTTCTTTTGTGATGGTCTTTTGTCTATTTTTCAGTTGTAGAGTCATTGGTTTATTGTTGGCTAGGAAGAGGTCTTTACATATTAAGGATATCAGATCTTTTTTCTGTATTATTTTTTTACAAGGTTTTATTTGTTTTTTCATCTTAGGGTGTGTTGAGCCAAAAATATTTTATTTTTATTAAAAAATCTGTGTTAAGAAAACAGATCAAGTCTTCCTTTCATGTGCTCTGCTTTTTGTGTTGTGCATAAAATGTTCTCTCCAACCCAGCTACATGCAAATAATTGCCTATGAGTTTTCTGATTTTGTTTTTCACATTTAATTGTTTAGCATATAAAAATTTATTTTAGTATTCAAAGTAAAATAGGAACCTAACTTTAATTTCTTAAATGATTAACAACTTATCACAAACCACTTATTAAATAATATATCCTACTAATCATATGTACTATATGTTAAATTTGCTTATATCTAGTCTCTTTTAGACATACACATATCTGCAAATATATGTAAATATATAAATATACCTATTTGTATATAAACTTCTTATTTTATGTGATTGTTCTTCCCGTCTCTTCTGGCAATCACCCCCATTTGAATGAATTATTTTACTTTAAAAATACCTTCTGATATGTTAAGACAAAACTGACCCATTATATTACTCTTTATTTTTCCTTTTGCCTAAGCCATTTAAAAATGCATTTTCCTTTTTTTTTTTTTTTTTTTTTTTTTTTTTTTTTTTTTTTTTTTTTTTTTTTTTTTTTTAGTTTTTATTCAAATTCCAGTTAGTTAACATACAGTGTAATATTATTTTCAGGTGTACAATTTAGTGATTCGACACTTACTTAAAACACTTCATGCTCATTACAAGTATACTCTTTAATCCCCATCACTTTAACCCATCCTCCACCCCCCACCTCCTCTCTGGTAACTATTAGTTTGTTCTCTATAGTTAAGAGTCTGTTTCTTGGTTTGCTTCTCTCTTTTATCCCCCTATGATTATTTGTTTTGCTTATTAGATTCACTCATACATGAGTGAAATCATATGGTATTTGTCTTTGTCTGACTTATCACAGTGAACATAATATTCTCTAGCTCTATCCATATCATTGCAAAATGGCAAGATTTCATTCTTTTGATGACTGAATAATATTCCATTGTATATATACCACATCTTTTTTTAATACTTATTTATTTATTTTGAGGTTGAGAGAGACAAAGAAAGAGAGTATGTGTAGGGAATAAGCTTCGGAAACCCCTGGCTTGCACTGATGGTTTAACAAGGCATAAAGAATGAGAAAGCCATAGGATGTTCACACCCAAGTCTGGGTAAACAAGATTAGGTAAATAGGTATAGAGAGGGCGGGGCAAAGGCCCCCAGTATAGAACAAAGGTATATTAGATAAACAAGATTAGGAAATGCCCCCCAATTTAGTACTATGGCAGAAAGCTGCTTTCAAGGGAAGGAAGGATCCAAATAGGTAAACAGGTAAATAGGGCTACAGACCGCCTTGGGGTGAAGTCACCCAGAGACGAGCTAATTAGCAAAAGAAAGGTGCTTTGTTGACCCTGAGATAGCATGCTCTGTCTTTCTTATCCCCTAGACCAGTTTAGGTAGAGGTGGTGCCTCAGGTCTTCTGTAAACAACTTGCTGCCCAGCCCCAGGATTTTGTTTTGTATTTACCCAAACCCCTAGTCCTGCATATCTTCAAAACCCCCTTTACCTCACGCCCATGAGTTAATGATCACAGTTTCATTGTCATTTTGTGAAAGTCCATCACAATGTTTGTAAGCCTTCTGATCCCAATAAAAACAGAGCAAGGACCCTTAATGGGGGCTCTTGTCTTCTCCCGGACATTAGCCATCTCTTGCATTTTTAATCCTGTGTCCCACTTTCTTGCTGGACAAGAAAGAACTCCAGATCCAGAGTCTATGACAAGAGTGCAAATGGGGGAGGGACAGAGAGAGAGGAAGAGAGCAAATCCCAAGCAGTCTCCATGCTGTCAGCACAGAGTCCTGAGCAGGGCTTGATCTCACAAACCATGAGATCGTGACATGAACTGAAATCAAGAGTCAGATGCTTAACTGACTGAGCCACCTAGGAACCCCATAAACCACATCTTCTTTATCCATTCATCAGTTGATGAACATTGGGCTCTTTCTATAATTCAGCTAGGTAGATAACGCTACTATAAAAATCAGGGTGCATGTATCTCCTCAAATCAGTAGCTTTGTATCCTTTGGGTAAATACCTTATAGTGCAATTGCTGGATGGTAGGGTAGTTCTAGTTTTAACTTTTTGAGGAAGCTCCATACTGTTAAAAATGCATTTTCTTAGTTTATGTTTTAGTTTTAGTTTTTTTTTTTTTTTTCATCTACAAGGCTTTCCTTCTAAATTGACATAATATTCTTTTATCAAATAGTCTTAAAATAGGTATCTAGTCTTTTTCATGAAAATGCCTAGCAATTAGGGCTGAGAAATCAAAAAGCTCTTGAATCCCGGTAGCAATGACTATGGTCAACTGTGTGCTGAAAACTCCACAGTCAGAGCAGAGCAAGGAGCAGGAAGTGAGGCAATGTAAGTGCTCGCCTGTGAATTCATGGCCACACCTCAATTTATTTCTGGTAAGTGCATGTGACAACTATTCACATACATTACTATCTTTATACTGTCCAGGATATGCCAAATAAAGAAACAAGTCCAAAGGCGGTCTGTTTTAGAAAATTAATTAGAAGAGAGGGTAAAACTTGGTCTTGCTTATGCACAAAATATAAACTTGGAGGCTCTTCTGAGACTTGGTATAATTTAGGAAGAAACAAGCTAGAGTTTGGGATATTTTGATCAGTTGACTTGTTCTAACCACTTTTGTAATGAGTCCTCCTCAGCAAGGTGCAGCAGTGAATTGTGTGTCTTTCTTATAACCATGTAAAAGTATAATTTTGCAGTAGTTTTCGTTGTGAAACAGATGGCTCTATACTGATTACTAACACTCTTTTTTCCATGAGGCTTCATACCTAAAGGTTTTTACAAGGATCATTGGATGAGATTAGCTGTGCAGACCGTGGTTAAGGAAAAGTGTAGAATTCCTGGGCACACATTGTAGCCAGGGCTGTGGCTATGCTATCACAACATCTTAATCAAATGCTACTAACATCAGAGAGAGCCCTAATATACAGAGAGTCTTTCCTAGTTGGCATTCTGGTCTGAAGAGTCCGTCTCTCCCGACCTCACTGACTTGCTGGGAGACCATTCTACCCCAGTGCCATTTCGATCATATTTCTTGGAGAAGAGTGCCCATGGGGGGTGTACAAGGTTTCCCTGGCTATCTGAAAATAAGGCATTCCTATGAAAACTTTCCTAAGTGGAAATGGTGTGAAGAAGCAATTATCATTAATTTATATGGAGAATTTTTGAGCACTCTCAACCCCCCCCTCCAAAAACAAAAATAATCTTTCTTAGGCTTTTCTCATAGCTTAAGACACATCTTGCTAATGGATGCACAAGTTAAATGGAGATAAATCGCAGATGCTCACAGGGTAGAGTTTAACACTGCGGTGGCTTGACGCTGAGACACTGAGTGTCATTCCAGGGAAAGAGCTTCGCGGGGCCACTCTTGTTGCTGAAGGTTGCGTGCTGACTCTAGAAGAGCTCACTGCAACACGAACACTGAACCCTACTTGCCAAAAGCAGGGTTTGCCTGTATAACTAATTTTTCCTTATTCTGCATCAAATTCCACCAATAAAAAACAGGAATGAGCAGAAGAGTCACATATCATTGTTTAATTCTATTAGAAATGTCCTAAGAAACCTCCCCAGACATCCCTAAGAAGTCTTTTTGCTTACTCAAGAGCAGAGCATGACCTATTTATTAAAGGTTTACACTTATTTCCAGAAGATGGTCTTTGCTAATCTGGCTTTCAAGTTGGAAGGAAAGAAGAAAAGTTGATTCCTTATGGATTTTGCTCTAAACTTTAACCCTCAGGCGGTTAAAGCCTCTTTATCCAAAGTGAATCTCTGTTTAATAAGGCCCCTTTTATAACCGCTCCAAAACACGCTTTCAAAACAAAAGTTAGAATGCTGTATGGTCCATTCTCAAGAAAGATCTGTTTCTGTTCAGCACCCGCCCTGACCTTTTTGTTGAAGAAGAACAAAATAATGTAGTAACAAAAACACAAGTGGCTGCCAAAGGAAGAGAAAAAAAAGTTCCTGTAAGGGACTGAAACAATAAATCTCCTCTCTGCTGAACTCCCAAAGGGAGTGTGTGTATTTCCTCCCGTTCTTTATCAGAGCCCCCGAAATAAGTAGGAATGGGCAGTGGCTGTTCACATTCAGCACACCTTTTCCATTTGCTAATAAGGCCCTGCCAGGCTGGGAGGGAGTTGTCTCCGCCTGACTCTGAAGAGAAGAGCCACGGAGCCGATCCGCGGGCACCATGAAATCCCTTCAAGTGACCATCCTTTGTCTTCTGTTCAGTCTTTATAGCAGTAAAGAGGACACAGGTACCATTTTCTCTTATTCCTCTGACAGTGTGGATCAGAAATTACTAGCAGGGGACTCAGTCTCAGTTTACCCTCAGGGACCTTGCCCTGAAACGTGGCTGCAGCAATTCATTTGCTGTGTCCAGTGTGTGGATGTTGACTGGGAATGCATTGAGAAGGCTCCACGGAGAGAATGTTTGTTTTCACTGAAAGGAAATGTTTGCTGGTGCGGTGGCCTTGCAGCGTATTTGATGGGATCGTAAAGGTCCGGGGAATACACAATAGCATTTTTTGAGAATAAAAACCTGGGAATAAAATACTGGGTAAAAATGTACTATTTCTCACCACTGTGCTCCTTTCAGGTGTTAAGTCTAGAAATAACGATTGTCAAGTATGGGTGAAAGGCTGTAGTCAGAAACATTGCGTTGCAGATGCTGGCCTATATGCGTGGCCACTATCTTTTGGCTCTGATAAATTGAGAGGTTGGATAAAGCCGCCTAGGAAAATGAATAGCAGTATCTTGAGGTGGTAGGGGAAGTAAAGAGGAGAGTCATTTTGATAAAAGTGAGCAACATTTATTTGCTCCAGAAACCAGGACAAATCCACACATATATACACACAACATTTGGCTCATCATCTCAAAAATCTTACCCATTGAAGGCAGTTTCAGAGACTCAACCAAAGGCTATATGTGAAACAATATAAGTCTTGACTATATTAATGACCAGTTGCAAGAGATTATTAACATTTATCTTCTAACTCTTTCTGAGGGATTCACTGTACGCAATTAAATTTAATCAATATTTATTAGGATCTTACCATGTAGTCATCAGTGCAAGAAATACATGAATGATTAAGCCATTGTCCTTACCAACAGTGGTAAATGTAGTGTGGGGAAAAATAAATATGTAATTCTAATACACGACAGATTTAATAAGCATGAAAACCAAAGTACAAGCTCTCATAAAAGAGCACAGTTGGGAAATATTGATTCTGAGGGGCCCTGGAAAAATATCAGTTCTAATTTTATTTTTTCATGTGCTCTTTTCAAAAGTTTGTTGCCTACAAAAATTCTAGTATAGAGTAATAATGTAGGAAAAATGACATATACTGCTTCAATAATATTTATCATTAATTTCTCAAAATACATACATAAATTTAGGACTCATTCCCAAACACTTCAAAATCACCTATGATGGCTTCCCATGCATCTTGGCATTTCCAGAGTCAAGTTGCAGCAGGTATCAAGGCCAGAAAACCTAACTTAGAAGAGTTACCAAGAATCTGAGTTTTTAAAATAAAGAGTATTTATGAGAGGCCACAGAAATCAGTATATGAGCTTTTAAGTAACTCTTCAGTATGCATGGGAAAGATTGGTAGGAATCCCAATGCCATGAAAAACACTGCTTACGAACACGGGTCAGGTCAATATAAATTTGAAAGTCTGGGTGAAGCTGCCCCCTACCCCGGGTCTGTAAGTACACTAATTTCCCTGCATTGTTAAACTCTGAATGGATTACATGTCTTTCTGAAAGCAAAATGGAATGGTATCAGTTCAAGAATTCAGTAGTGTCAAATCAAGAATCAGCCTGCAAAACCTGGCCGTAAGAAAGATGGAAAGGTACAGGATAACCCAGAGATGACCTGGCAGATTTTCTGTTTATGATCATTTGGGGAAAATACCAACTTCTTTTAACTCACCAGTAGTGAACACAACCTGTTAATGGTGTCTTCTTTCTAATGAACTATTAACCCAAGTAAGGTACTTTCTTATTTAAGCAGATATAATGATTACATAATGACTATCTCCTTCAACTTCTGCCAACAAGCCTATTTGTTAAGGAAAGTGTCTGTAAAATCTACTCCATTTTTCTTAAAAAAGGAAACTTTAGCTCATGAGCATAAACTGCCCATCCAAGTGGTGCCCAGAAGGAACTGGAAGAGGTTTTCCACCAGGTTGTATGATTTTGTTGCACCTGGCTCTGCCTGTTCTGTTTCCATCCCCAGATATGCCGCAGGAAATGAAGCATTTCCTAAGCTGATTTATTAAGTTCTTTCCCTAACCCCCTGTACCGGAAACACATTGATTTCAAAGCTTTGTACATTCCCCAAACTTAGAATGCTTAACATATTTCATCAGCAGAATTGATTATTAGGGGTGAGGAGGGAGGCATTTCATCTGCCTTAAATTCACAAGTTGTCAAGAAGATCCATGCTTTTTTGCATAGTAATTTATTCCTAAATAATGATCTTTTAGAGAAATTGACTACTTTTCTTTTTCCTTCTGACATTTTTGTCAGTCCCAGATTTAAATAAATACAATATAGTCTTTTGTGCTCATTGTGAAAATCAAGTGAATCTTTCTACACAGCAGTGAGTGACTTTCTATTACTTGGTTGGTGGTATAACATTTTACATTCTCCAATTTGGAAAGCTGTTCTGTTGAAATATGTACGTGAAGTTCCTGAAAAGGAACTGTCATTCTTTCCCAAGGTTTTCTAAATTGTATTTAAAACAGAACAGACCCCTCCTGTGGCTTTTAAACCCCTTTGGCTTTTAAGCCTAGATCTGTGAGCCTTTTCCTGTCAAGACTGAAAGAAATGAAATGAAGAGGGCCTGGAAACAAGTTACTCTTCAAGCGCCATTTGCTTTTTGGAGTTTACATTAATTTAGGAAAGATGAAAATGTTTCAAGCATTTGCAAATGGGAACAAACATCATTTTATTGGTATCTGAAGAAGAATTTAATTGCTTGGAGAGATTCATTTGATACTGATCGACTATTCAGTTTCATGGAAAAAATGGATTGAACACACTGTAAGACAGGCATTATACTAAATGCTATAGATTTATAGAGAATACTTAAGACTCAGCCAGGCCCTTGAAATGGGGAAGAGAAGAGGAGGTAAGGAATAAGGAGTTTGACTATATTGTAAGTCTTAAGTGGTGAATAAAGAATGATAGGGAGCTTAGCTTGGGGTGTAAGGGCATCAGAAAAGACTTCATATAAAAGTGGAAATTATGATGAACTTTGAAATTTGAAAAACAGGAGGTTCCAGACCGATGGAATTTCTTGAGTAGGAACATGAAAACATCAGTATATTCTAGTGTAGAAATGTAAGGAAATCACACATTGGATGTAGGTTAAGTTTTAGAAAATAAGATTGGAAATAGAGTCTCAAGATATGTGGCTACCAGGATGAAAAATATTGGCTAGTTATCAGTCAATAGTTAATACTGAATAGTTAATTCATTTAGAGCCTCTAAATGTGTTTCAGTGTGGAAATTATATGATTGGGGCTATACGTTGGGAAGATGAATCTTTCGGCAGGATATAAATTAGACTACTGCAGTCAGGAGAGATGAAAGCTAAAGAAAATAGTGCAAATGTTATTGCCAGTGTAAAAATCTGTCAATAAAGTAAAAAAAAAAAAAAAGATTTGGGGAAGAGCCTAAAGGGAGTAGAAAGTTTGTGATCTGACATATTCTTGACTGGCAATGAGGGAGAAAGTGAATGAGATGTACAGAGAGGATTATCTGAAGACCAGAAGTAGGAACATGGTTTGGGAGCAGAGGGAGGGAAAGATAGGTGGAGAGCATTTAAGGAGAAAAATGAAGTATTTGATTTTGGTCATGGTGAGTTTGAAATCCTAATAAGATATTTAAACAGAGACATTGAGGGTAAATTAAAATCCGCAGGGAATTGTAATGCCCCTGAAGTTGAAGGTGGTGGTGAGTGTTCTTTACTCTTGAATCCCAGGAGTTCTTAGTCCTGTCCACTTTAAGATTCATAACAGAGAAAAGCAATTTATTTCTCACCTGGATGCTCATGTTTCTAGCTCTCTCATGGAACTTGTGTTTTAATTCTATCATAATTGTTTGTAGGCATATCTGATCTCCTCTTCCAGACGATAAACACCTTGAAAGTAGGGGCCATATTTAATTACCATATTTATTTTGTTTGTCCAGTAACAGTTCTAAACATATAGTAAGGACATAGTTAGCCAGATGACATGTAAATGAATGATACAGTTGCCTTCTTTTTTTGTTTTGTTTTGTTTTGTTTTCATTTTTTATTTCTTCCAATGACAAGCACTCACCAGTTTACTGCCTTGTTTGTATGAAAGATTATGGACATGTATGACTCATAGTGTATAACATGGATACAAATGGATTGCTTTGATCCTGGCAACGAAAGTGGGCACCAAATATAAGGAAAAGGGAAAAGGGCTTCTTATCAAAGGGAAGCCAGTTCCCAAAGTCTGGCCAAGAGAGAAGATGACAGCTATAGATGGACCACCTAGCACTGGGTGACAGTAATTTACAACAAATATGGAAAAAGAAACAGCCTTGACTATAATCTTTGGGAGGAAGAGCATCTAAAAAGAATTAGCTCTACTTTTCCTTTTTGGGAATAAAATACTTTATGTAATATCTTCTTATAGATAGAAATATTCAAGAAGAAACCTTATTCTCAAGCAACTTCTTAAAAATACAAAATGGATTTTTTTTAAAAAAAACAAAGTTCATAAAAAGTGAAGTTTAAGAAAGTTAATTCATGTGTTATTTTAGATAGCATAAGAGTTGCTTTAGAGCAGATCATTTTACTGATTACTTCTGTTTAGCTTAATCACTGTCAGCAAATCTTACCTAAAATGGGTGATCTATTGTAAGGAGAATGAACCAATAGGCAAACAGATCCAACGGGGAAGTATTCAGTCCCCACACCATTTGTTTCACATTCTTTTTTTTTTTTTCCACTACTCATTTTGTTTGAAGTTTCTACCTAAAAGTAGAAGTGATCAGTCTAGAATTTCTGTTTTCAAGAGATTCATAACAGTAGTCACCAGTAAATTCTCTGGCAATTTTATCTTGCTAATTGTAATTATTCAGATAATTGAGGGAAAAAAATGATGCCCCTTTGGGATTTTCAGAAAGCTTGTATTTTACTGGATCATTGCCCGTCCTTTCCTTTTCATTGATGAAGTTCCATTTCATGCTTCAGGTAAACATTTTAACTTA